ACATTCTCCCAATTCTCTTCTGGATCATCCAAATGCTCTCTAGCAAACTTCAGACGGGCCTGGACATGTACTGGCTTAAGCAGGGGGACACGTCTGTCACTGCAGGATTTGAGTCCCTGGCGGCGCAGTGTGTTACTGATGGTAGCCTTTGTTACTTTGGTCCCAGCTCTCTGCAGGTCATTCACTAGGTCCCTCCGTGTGGTTCTGGGATTTTTGCTCACAGTTCTTGTGATCATTTTGACCCCACGGGGTGAGATCTTGCGTGGAGCCCCATATCGAGGGAGATTATCAGTGGTCTTGTGTGTCTTCCATTTTCTAATAATTGCTCCCACAGTTGATTTCTTCACACCAAGCTGCTTACCTATTGCAGATTCAGTCTTCCCAGCCTGGTGCAGGTCTACAATTTTGTTTCTGGTGTCCTTTGATAGCTCTTTGGTCTTGGCCATGGTGGGGTTTGGAGTGTGACTGTTTGAGGTTGTGGACAGGTGTCTTTTATACTGATAATGAGTTCAAACAGATGCCATTAATACAGGTAATGAGTGGAGGACAGAGGAGCCTCTTAAATAAGAAGTTACAGGTCTGTGAGAGCCAGAACTCTTGCTTGTTTGTAGGTGACCAAATACTTATTTTACCGAGGAATTTACCAATTAATTCTTTAAAAATCCTACAATGTGATTTTCTGGATTTTTTTTTCTCATTTTGTCTCTCATAGTTGAGGTATACCTATGATGAAAATTACAGGCCTCTCTCATCTTTTTAAGTGGGAGAACTTGCACAATTGGTGGCTGACTAGATACTTTTTTGCCCCACTGTATTTATATACATTTCAGGCTCAAGATGAATTAATGCCGCAAATAGAAACTGAAACTATAAAGGTATTTTTCCCTCAGTATTTTATTTATTTTTATCTTTTCGATGTATGAAATAAAAATATTTTTGTTTTATTTAATGCTGTTTCTCATTTTTATAGGACTTGGCAGTGGCTGGTGGCCTAACTGTGGATGCCATAAATGGATGTCTGGGAGCTACCGAAGTTGCAATTGAAGGTTAAAGTGGCTATGGTAAGAATGTGGAGCTTTTAAAGAGATAGTTCACCTAAAAATTTAAATTCTGTCATCATTTACTTACCCTCAGGTTGTTCCAAACCTGTATGAATTGCTTCTTTCTGCTGAACACAAAAGAAGAACATTAAAATACCTGTTTTCTGTGTTTTACAGTTTCATATGATATAAAGAGATGGCTGAAATATGAAACATTGCAAAGTGCCTTATGTGCTGATTCTCACCTAAACAATGACAAGGATGTGTGCTTGTTCTTCGCTAGTGGAGTTTTTCTGAATTTACCTCAGTTTCCATATGCATGTATGGTAGATTTGATGCCGTTTAACATTGCATATGTAGTAAAGTAAAATGGAGGGATGTTGCAAATGTATATGTTTTTACTTGGACCATTTTGTAATGTGGAATGAATACTTGTTGTACTTGATAAAATTATTTGGAGTGGAGTGCTTTGGAGCACAATTTCATACTATACCATCACCACATCTTCTGTTCCCCCCTCAACCATCCACATGGGCCTTTTTCTAAATGATAAATAAAGGGAGTTTGAGGATAATTTGTCTTTAGGAATTAGTCTTTCCTATGCATTTAGCTTGGATGAAAATAGTATAGACTAAACAACTTTATGTCCTAAGATTGACAGATTAAACACTGTATGTCACCTATTGAATTTGTATGGGATGTGAAATCTTGACTTGTAAAATGGAGCCAAATAAGTTATTAGGATAGATGACAGCAAATGACCCTTGAGTTTATAGAGATGCACTTTAGTTTAGTTTATCTATCAGGGGCAATACTTTTTAATTTTAAAGACACATTCATTAAGGTAAATAAATAGAAACATTGGCCAATTTACACAGGGAATATCTTGCCCCCGTCAACATGCCCCAACTGCTTTCTGAATTGACTATCAATTGTTCTATATGTTGTACAATTAGTGCTGTCAAAATTAGCGCGTTAACACATGCGATTCTTTTTTTCAGTTTAATGCGTTAAAAATATTTAACGCAATTAACGTAGGGGCGGAGCTAAGGTTGGCCACCCCACTCACAACTGCTGCTTCTGTCTCTCTTTCTTCTTGACAAGAATTGTGTTTATTTAGACGTAGATTGTCTTTACAATCTACCAAACGGGAGACTTTCAGACCCGCACTCCAACTTCGCCTCAGCGCCAGGCGCTAGTCAGACGAGCGCGGAAAAGATACAGGTGACCAAACGAGAGAGCTTCAGTAGAACAACAGTGAACCGCAGTCAGATGAGATGTTGTCAGGCCATATGTCAGTCAAAAAATGTGCCTGTCCTGTCAGCCGTTATACTGTGCTCGTACTCGTAACACATGCTCTTCAATTGCACGCACAAATGCGGCGGTGCACGCTGTAATCCGATCTCATGAAAGTGCGTATAAATAGTACGCCAAATAAAAACGAAAACTCATGGCATTGATATGCAAAAATGGGTTTTGGCGTGTATATGCTACGTGATGGATAGGATTAGGGTTGTGGGGTAGATGCCTATGTTAGGCGAAAACTGCATATTACGCCAAACACGTGCGTAGCATATACACGCCAAAGTCCATTTTTGCGTATCAATACCACGAGTTTTCATTTTTGAGACCGGGCTCCTTGCTGTAGGCTATACAATTTCATATTAAAGCGCAAATGAAACTACGAGCATGCAATGTCGTAGTTATGTCGTCAGTTAAGTCATGAAGTTACCAAAAAGGTGATTAAAGCTGCCTCAAAACTGTGTATGCATGAAGGCCTATTTGTTATGAGTCACATTTAAGAACATGTCTCTGAAATGCAGTGGGTTTTCCAAACTGTCCTGGAGCGGCCCAGCACTGTCGCCATCATCTAACACACCCGATTCAATTCGTCAGCTCATTAATACTTTAAGACCTGAAGTGGGTCAGAAAAGATTAAGAGCTGTGAGATCCGCATTATGTTCTGCAGCGTCAGCTCTTAAAGCAGCCAAAATAACCTAATAACCCAGCTGCTGTGATGTCTGTTCATCAAAAAACAAAAGAAAAAAAAGTAATCAATAACTTTTGTAGCTTTAAGGATTCATCTATATTTCATTTAGAATTTAGTGTTTGATAACTTTATTCAATTTCTACATATTTCCTACTTTCTGAAGGGCACAGGTAAATATGAGATTTATTATGGTTTATGTGAAGATTGTTTTAAGTTCACTTAAATTAGAAGGGTTTTTAAGTATAATAAATGTTAAAATTGATAGCTCTCAATTAGTGCGCTGGTGGCAGTATTTTAACTTTTAAAACATTTTCATTTTTTAAAACATTAAAAACATCTGAAACATTTATTTTTCCTTCTGATTGCCATCAAACCCTAACAAAGTAACAAACAGACGAGACGCTTGTCTTGTCTTGAACTGAGTGCTCAATTTCCTCTTACAGTACAGTACAGAACAGAGGCTTCACCTGACAAAAAAATGTCAGTGCAATTGTGTGCGACTGCAATGTCAGTCAGATCTCCCCTTAATAAATAAAATATCACAAGCTGAGACCAAATCAAAGTAAGACCAGTTTTAAGCCATTTTCATCCAGATACTTTTAATACTCATTAAGTTTAGTCAAACAACCTATCAATTACAATATAAAGAATAGTGGAGGAATGTGGCTCCGTTAAAGATGTGTTCTTATAATTGCTTCACCAATCAACAAGGTAAGTTTCATCCCATTGTGTGATAAGATAAACATATTACAGATATTTCCCATGTGTTTATATGGATAATGCATTTTTCCATATGTTTATGGAAAATATTTTACTGTGATAACAGCATTGTGTAAGCATTGTTTTACAGTATATAATGGTGTTGGGGTACAATTAGATATAGCTTAAATAGCTTAATATGTGTATCCACAGGCATCAATGTCTTAATTGTTTACTTCAGAAGAATCAATTTACATTGTTTCATTTAGTCAGAGCAAATAATTTAATAAATTATACATTTTTGCTCAAATGTCATAGCAGGTCAGAATTTGTGTTGTTAAGTTATTTTGAAGGCAGTGAATTGATTTTAATATTGCCCAATCATTAAATGATTATTTAATGATTAATCTCTAGAGCAACATATTTCATTTCACATGATAAAAACAGGAACAATTTTGAGCTCAATATGTGCTATAAAAATAACATTTTAAAAAACAGAGAGATAAAAAAAAGAGACATTATGCATTGAGATTTGATTAATCAGAAATTGAGGTGGGAAAAGCTTTCAACTAGATTTGTTTTTCTTTTTGATGAAAGCATTAAAGAAACTAAAATGAAAGTTTTAAGACCATTTTTACTAGTGTGGATTGTCATCGTAAATAAACTAGTAATCCAGAATTTTAAAGAAATGTGATTTTTAGCTTTTACTTTAGCTATAATATTCAATTTAACAGCATCTTTGGCATGGTGTTGTTTACCAAAGAAAATTATTTCAACATCACCACAGGTTCTGTGTAAAGAAAATGAATGAATGCCTTTTATTGAGATTTGTTTTCTCGATTAATGGCAGCAAATTGGAAATTATTCAAATACTTGATCAGCATCAAAATAAATGCTTCAAGGCAAATGGTACAGGATCGCCTGAGGACACTTCTAAGGATACTCATTTCCATATAGCGTCAGCCAAAATGTCATATAACCAATGTGAATCTCAATACCAGTAAGGCTCTTTAGTAAAATTATTCCTCATCAGTCATAGTGCTAGTAGTAGATAACTAATAGAATAATACACATACATGTGTAATTCATTAGTAATTAAATAGTGCTTTGTGCCCAATGAAAAATTGAGCTGTAATTAATGTTTATCATGAGTTAATTTGAGTTAATTCATTGATTAGTTAATACATTTGTTAAATGCATAGTAGCCTACACATCCAGTTACTCTAAAAATTACATATACCAGGAGAAACACACAGACATTAACTGTGTGCTATCAGGAAGTGTTACAAAATACTGGATATTAAAATGCTGGTCTATTTTTGATAGCTCAACCTCTAAAACTGTTCAAATACACAACTGACATAAAAATTAATGCACCAAGAGGAGCCGTGATAGAGCAATTGAGGGACCTGATACGCCAACAGTAATACCCTGTGTGCATCAAGAAAAGCTTGAAAATATCTAATGTGAACATCACTACAGGTATCAAAAGTATAAGAGGCGTAATGCCATTCTGAAATCATTTCTATGTGGATTCTCTAATATGTTTACAATTTGTTGAATTTTATGTGTGTGTCTCAAATTCAAACAAAAGCCACTGCAAATGTGAGAATTGGTCCTCTGAACAATGCTCTAAACATGGCGTTTGTGGCCCCAGTCAAAATGCAGATGCATCACTTCTCTTCCAACTGATGGACCATTCTGCCGGCGACCACCTGGTAATGAAGTCTCTCTTTATTTCAAATCCAAGCTGACAATTGCATGAAAATATAAGTAAAATGGAGTTTTTTACCTGTTCATTATTTTCGTCTTTGCACAATCTTTGCAGCTCCTCTGAATTTGTTCAAATACAACATTGACATAAAATTCAATGCTTCAAGAGACGCTGTGACAGAGCGCTTGAGGGCTTGAAGTCGCTCTTTATTTCAAATCCAAACAGACAATTGGTATGATCATCAAGTCTGATGCGGTTTTTGACTCATAGATTATTTTCGCCTTTGCCCAATTTTTGCAGTCTTATTATAAATAGTATGACAGTAAAGCCAATGTAATCAGATTAATTGATATCTTTGCTGATTGTAGGCTGTCCCGTGCCTTCAACCACAATCCCAACAACAATAAGTCTATCTACACCATCAGTGCCAACAGCAACAAGTACCAATTTTTGCAGCAATATTAGCAACAGATGTGACAATGATCAATATGTTAAATTGGTTATGAGAAGCATGTTTTTATTATTTTAGATTGTTTCAGGTAAAATCATAATCTTAGAATGTTTTTTCCATCAAAAACAGTTATAATTTAGATATAAATGGTTATTTTCTACCCTCAATTTAAACCTGTGATTTGAACGCTCAATTGGAAGGGGCGGGTCTGCTGTGAGATGTCAATGTGAACGTGCACTGCTATGATTGGCTAACATCTTTGCATATGAAATGAGCATTACATGTGGAACTCTCTGGAATTTTTTTTTTACTGTGGTTTTACTACAACAGATGTCAAGAGTAATCATGAAAGTGCTGATTTTAGCATTATATTTAGAACTACTCCTGTTGCATCCTCTTCTGTATATAAAATAATGACTATATATAACAGATGGTTTTCACTCTACTAACAGTAATGCTGTGAAGTTGTCCGTTTAGTCACTGGCTTGATTCACGAATGCATAAACAGCAGTAAACCATTTTGCGACAAAGAA